TAGGTCACTATGAACTGGAGCAGACTCAAAGATACCTAACAACTAAATCTCTACATCCAAATTACAACTTGGGACAAAATTCTTCATCTGTGAATACAGGATATAAGTCATCTGCTTACAAAGTACAATGGTGGCACAAGCATAAGGTAGGCATTTCCTTTACAAATGGGAGAAATTGGAGAGTAAGGTATAAGGAGCGTCAACCACCAAACCCAGCAAAACAATTTTCATTAGCTCTCTCAAGGCTTGAAACAAATCCTCTGTTCTATCAGACCATCAAGGCTGTGGTGCTACTCTGCAGACTCTGGGAATTGGCCATGCACTCTGGATTCCAGTGGAACCCCCTTGGCTCTGGGCTAATGCTTTGTTTTCCTGTCTCACAGGAAAGGCAAGAAATGATTCTGCCCTTTTGGCATGGAGCTTTGCCTCTCCAGCTTTGGGTAACAGATATGGCCCTATCTGCCTGATGCTTGTGGACAGCAGCCCCATACTCTGGAACCAACTTGGTGAAGACCTGGCTCTGTGATATCTAGGAGGCTATGGTTCCACCCTTAGGAACCCCAGAAGCCATTACCTCACGTTGTGAGACCGCAAAGGTCATGGCCCTACCCTTTGAGACAGCTTTACTTCACTCTGTTTTAGTTTCTGCTTTTTGGCTTCTTAGTTTTTCAAAGAGGCCAGCCCTTCCTCTGTCCTGTTGTGGCCCAGTGTTAACAAAAATCTTTAGCTCTATAGTTAGTGCCCTGAGGCAGCTCACTTGACTAGTAGCTCTCTGGTCTGAAGGTGCTCAATTCTCTCTTAGTGGATTGGCAAACCTAACTGCTGACAAGTACCCAAAGACACCCTACACTACCAGGAAGTTTCCTGCCTGAGCCACTTAACTCGCTGACTCTGTTGGCCAACTGCCCTGCCATCTGGTGCTCATTCCATAGTTCTCCTGACAGTTTCTCTTCCACTGCCTCTTGCCATCTGTGCTGTCTCTGATGTTACAGCTCTCTTAACTTCCTTCTGAGTCCTCAACAGAATTATCCTTGATATCCATAATTCCACCAACAATCTCTTCCAGGCAATTTAGGCTTTATTGTTAGGTATTTTATAAATAAGCTCTTCCAATCTCTACTCATTCCTCAATTCTAAGAACCATTTCTACAGTTAAGATATCTAGTAGAACAGCACCCAACTCCTGGTTTTTCGTTTTCTTGTACTGCTGTAACAGATTTACCACAAGCGCATGGCTTTAACAAACACAAATTGATTCACTCACAGTTTTGGAGGCTAGAAGTCTAAATTCAGGGTGCCAGCTCTAGAGGAAGACTTTCCCTCTCTGTTGGTACTTGGGGATCTAAGATGTTCCCAGCACAGGGACACTGGGCCCAGTGGTGTACTCCACTCCAGGCTTTTTCTTGTTGATGCAGACATAACACTGCTATACTCTCTGTTTTTATCTCTTGTAAGGTAAAAGGTGATGCAGCCACACCCTGGGACAATTCTCCTTCCATCAGATCTGGGCTGTGACCTGATTAAGGGTGTGGCGCTATAGGATAAGCACTCAACCTCAAGGTTGGTTTGGACTGCAAGGTCGGCAGTTCAAACTCACCAGCTGCTTCTCGGAAATCCTTGACTGAGACTATACAGTATTACGTAGCTGCCAATGAGAATCATGGCCCAGCCAAATTGACAGGTTTTTGGGTTTTTTTGGCGGGTTCAAGGGAGAAGCACAGTTCAATCCATGGCAGTTGCCTTTTCACATTTCCAGCAATTTTCAGTGAGTCTGCAGAGTGCCAGCAGTTGATCCTAAAACTTCTTTAGGGATCAAAAACTAGCACTGATTACAGAGTTGTTCCAAATAGTAATTTTTATTTCAAGTAAATTTATAGCAGCTGTTCTGTAATATGAGAGCTTTTGTGAGGAGCCTAATAGGAAGCAACACCTTCTTTTCTAAAGTATTATTTTAGGATTTAGTCACGTGTAAGTATCTTTTCAATTTACCTTAACACATAGTGTTTTAAGTCTAAGTTGTTGTTGTTAAGTGCCGTCAAGTCGGTTCCGACCCATAATGACCCTGTATAGGGTTTTGGAGGAGCAACTGGTGAGCTTGAACTGCCGACCTCACAGTTCAGACAGCTTTGCAGTCCAGTGCGTTAGCCCACAGCGCCACACCAGGACTCCAAGTCTAAGTTAGGGTTGTTAAATTATGTGATGCTGTCATCTCAGCATAAAAGTTAGGTGTTACTTTCTTATGTTGATATTTTTAAAAGGTGGTTTGAACATTAACACTACCTGTACATGTGATAAGGAGGAAAATCTTTCCCTTCATTTTTGTATTTAGAAATATCCTATGATTTTTCATAGGGCAAAGCTATGAACTATTGTTATAAAATTCATCATTGTGAGACAAATAATTTTAATTATATTTCTTAGATGGGAATGGTGAATTCTGTTTGTGTTCTTAGGTCTGGAGAAAATGATGTGGAATACAACAACATGGAATTGGAAGAGGGAGAACTCATGGAAGATGCAGCTGCTGCAGGACCTCCAGGTACAGAGACCAGGGCCCCCGTGCCATTCTTTCTCTCCTCTTTGTTCTTTTCTGCCTTCTCATATTTTAATACTGGACAGCCACTTTTCTCTTTGGTTACTCTATGTGGCTATATATAGCAGTATGGATTGTATGGTACATCATGAGTGATATTTAATATAATAATAATAACAACTAACATTTGCTATGTGTTTACAGATTCCAGGCACTGTGAATCACTTTATATATGTCATAGCTCATTCATTTCTAAAACTTCAGTGAGATAGATTCTACTATTTCCTACATTTTTGTTGCTATCAAAATTAGTATGTAGGGAAATTAAGCATTTTCCTGTGCGCTCACAATTTAGTAAATGTTTGTCCTTTTTGATTGACTAATTTCACTCAGCAAAATGTCCTCCAGGTTCAACCATGTTGTGAGGTGCTTTACAGATTTATCATTATTCTTCAGTGTTTTGTAGTATTCGTTTGTGTATACATATCAAAAAACACATGCAAACAAAACAAAGTCAGCACAGAAAAATACGGGAACAAAGAAACAAATATTGTACCATTCTTCTGTTGATGTGCATTTAGTCTCTCTCCATCTTTTTGAAATGTCTCTTGTAGGCAATATATTGAAGGATTCTGTTTTCTTACCCATTCTGCTCTTTATTTCTCTTGACGGGTATATTTAATCCGTTTACATTCAGTGCAATTATCAATAGGTGTGAATTGTTCTCATATTTCTTTATGTTTTCTTGTGGTGCGGCTAGATTCTTTGTTCACATAATTTTCTATGCTGAGTTCCTTTTTGTGTGTGTGTGGGTTGCTGGTTTCTTTGTTCCCCTTATTTTACTGTGCTGACTTTGTTTTGTTTGCATGGTTGTTTTTGTTTTCAGTTTCTTCATTGCTGCTATTTCAGTGTTTACACAATCTTCCTGGTTTTCCATTTTCTTGATTTGGTATGAAGATGTGTTAATTTTCTATGTGATTACTCTGAAGTTTAGTAATTTCTTCCCTAGTTTAAAACAATCTGTTTTATCTTGAAACCTACTTGGCTTCCTCGCCCTTTAGAAGTTTTCTAACTATACTTTTACTTCTTTTTGTTTTATAGATGTATTCATTATAAATTGATATCTCTGGTTCCATATTTTCAGTTTTATAAGTCTGTTTTACTTTGATACTTCTATATCTGGATTGAATCCTAGGTGGTGTTGGCATGGATGTCAAACTCCAGTTGTTACCTCTCTGTTCAAAGGATTCCCTTTAATATTTATATTTGGTCTGTTTATTACAAATTCCTATAATTTTTGTTAATCTGGAAATGTTCTAATTTTGCCATCATAATTCAGAGACAGTTTTGCTGAGTATATAATTCTTGATTTGCAATTTTTTTCTTTCAGAGTGTGTTTTTGTCTCCTCATTGCATTCTGTTTGTAGGTTTTGTATTGTCATTGTCTTGAATCATTTATTATTTGTTTTGTTGTTCCTGTAGTGCTTTCCTGAATTCTTCCTTGTTTTCCATGACCATTTAAAGATACTTAAATAGAATTCTCTTGAATTATTTTTCAGGTAGTTCCAATGACTTTTTTTCCATCAAGTGTTTTCTAGTTCTGCCTCTTGGTCACTTGTTTGAACCACTCTGTCTTGTTTCATCTTGTGAACAGAAAGTGTCTGCTTCTTTCAAGATAATGTGGTTTTGTATTTGTATTAAGTTGATCATTGTATGCTGTTGTATTCTTAAGCACTCACCAACTGCCTTTTGGTGGGTGTGATCAGGAGATGTGCTTGTGCACCATTCTTTGTTCACAGTGTTTGAAATGCAGCTTCAGATGAATTTCGTTGATGGTGGTGGTGGTTGCAATGGATAGTAGCTGGTTTGGCTCTTCTTCAGCTGATGAGGTTATAGAAAGTATGGTTGTGACTAGGCTGTATGGATGCAGTTGTCTCCGTGAGGTGAGGCAAGAAAATAAAACACATGCAAGAGAGAAGTAAAACAAACAAGCAAACAACAGCATAAAGAGAAAATAGGGGCAAATGCAGGCAATAGCTAGGAAAAAAAATACAAAAGTCAAAGAGAAAAGAGGGAGCGCAAAATAAAATATGAAAAATAGAGGCTATAAATAGATAAAGAGCTAAATACAATTAGGGAAAGGAATGAATAAAAGGAAAAGATAAGGAGCAGTAAAAATAAAGACAAAGTGGAAGAAGAAGAAGAAAAAAAAGAAGCAGCAGTTGCTGGGAAAGAAATGCAGGAAAAAGGAGGAGAGAGACAAAGGATAGAAAGCAAGAGGGGAAGATGAAGAAAGAATAAACAAACAATTCAAGGAAAAAACTAGTGTGGCTCTATAGGATAAGCAGTAGGCTGTAAGGTCAGTTTGAACTGCATGGTCAGTGGTTCAGGGTTACCAGCTGGTCCTCTGAATCCCTATACAGGGTTGTTACGAGTTGTAATTGACTCGACAGCACTCAACAACAACAACAAGGTGCCATACTCAGGAGAAAATTCTGAGCTTTTCTGCTAGCCTAGAAACTCACATTTTGGGTGGGTAAAGGTTGAGATGTTAACATTCAATCTTAGATTGAGTTCCTGCAGGGCTAGGTGTTGTCTGTTTTGGGCACTCAATCTGGAAGTAATTCATACAAGCCCCAAAGCAACTGGGAATAAGGGTATTTCCATTCCAGAGGGCGGCCCAGTGGTAAGTTATTTTTGTGATGTGCCGTGGAGTAGGTTCCAACTCATAGTGACCCTGTACAGGGTTAACGAGGTTGTAAATCTGTATGGGAGCAGAAAGCCTCATCTTTATCTTGTGGAACTGCTGGTAATTTCAAACTGCTGACCGTGAGATTAGCAGCCCGATTAGTAACCACTACGCTACCAGGGAGATCCTGCTAATCCAGGGCTGACCAGAACCTGCTCTGCAAAACTGGATCAGGCTACTCCTAATTTCAAGCACTTTTAGTGCTTCTAGCTCCCCACACACTCTGATGTTGACACCAACCACCTGGAGAGTAGGAACTTTGCTGCAAATGTACGGGTAGGAGCCTGCCACACCTCTACCAATTTCTTCAGTCTGATATTGGTCAAACATGCAGTCAAGATGCATTGATAATTAATGGTGATTGGAATAGGAAGGTTGGAAACAAAAAGGATTAGTATATGGAAAGTATGGCTTACATAATAGAAATGATGATAGATCACATGATAGCATTTTGATAGATCAACAAGTTATTCATTGCAAATATTGCTTTAAAACAACATAAGAGGTGACTATGTACATGGACCTCACCAGATATAATACACAGAGATCAAATTGAGTGTATCTGTGGGAAAAGATGGTAGAAAAGCGTACTATCATTAGCCAAAACAAGGCCAGAAACAGACTGTGAAACAGACCATCAATTGCTCATATGAAAGTTCAGGCTGAAGCTGAAGAAAACTATACCAAGTCCACAAGATCTAAAATATGACTTTGAATATATCCTACTTGAATTTAGAAATGATGTCAATAACATATCTTATGCCTTAGATTTTAATGGCTGAAGACCAGATGAGCTGTGGGATGACATCCAGAACATCATACATAGAGTAAAAGGTCATTAAAAAGAAAGAAAAGACCAAAATGAATGTCAGAAGAGACTCGGAAGCTTTCTCTTGAGCAGAGAGAAGCTAAAGTGAATGGAAGAAATGAGGTCAAAGAGATGAACAGAATATTTCAAAAGGCAGCTTAAAAATACAAAGTTAAGTTTTATAATGAAATGTGCAGAGACTTGGAG